GAATTTATGAATTTAAAACATAGGAATTATTTAACGAATCGGTCATTCGTGTAAAACGGAAATACAATTTTAATATCAGATTTAACGAAAGAAAATATGAAAAGAAAAATATGAATTTAGAGATAACTTGCATCATCCTCATCATCGCGCAGTTAGATGTCAATTCAAAAAGGAAATTCTCCCTCTCTTTTTTTCATTTTCCTCTACTTTCTTTTCTCTATTTTTGCTCTTCGCTTTTCCTTCTTTTATTTTCTCTTTGTTCTCTCTATACGATGCAATAAAGAGTAAATGCAAAACTGGAGCCCTCACGCATTTTAGCTCGCGTATAAGTATAGCGTGCGCAGATTCCTGAGCGACTTTCACGGGAAAGTCAATATTTTCCTTTGCAGTTGCGCCTACCTCGAGGCTCCATGTGGGCAGGATCGTGTTTTATCTAGTCCTCCTTTCAACGTGTTTGCATGGTGCGACATAGGAAATAACGAGAAAGGAAAAATCACGTGCAACTATCGGGAGAAAAGAAACGAATGTGAAGCGTCGTAAATGAAAACAGGTATAGATAGCCAATTGTATGTGTGACAATTCAAATGAAAAAAAAAATTAATGAGATTTTTTATTGATGAAAAAAATGTCAATAATGTTTATCACGTATTAGATTATTATTAGACTTTTGTTACTTAAAAAAGCGATACTAGAATTCAAGAATAGATACAGATAATGAGAAATTATTTCGTTTTTGATGCACGATTATGTAAAATAATACACTGCATGATATATGACAGAAAATTTTGATGTTTTCTCGATGCTCTAATCTTTCACAGATACATTAAAACAATCATGTAGTTATCGATATTTAAATCTCAATAAAATAAAAACGAGCAATAAATAAATATTAAATTCTTAATTTCTCTTTTCGAATTCCTCTCTTAAAAATGTTGACGATATATCGCACGAGTGTCGTGTTGATTAAACGAAATTATAATCACTCCTGTAAAGTCACATATCGTGCAAAGAATGTTGAACCGCCGCTCGATAATCACGATAAAGTAAATAAACGGTTCGCAGTTACGATCAACGAGAATCAAGCGACGGCATAGCAAACTGCAGTCTACCGCGCAAAAACCTGATCCAATCGATCAAGGAAGGCGCGGCTCGACTACGCCGTTAAGATCCCAGAAAACCGCTCAAACTAACGTGAATGAGGAGCGAGTTCACGGCTCGTTCGGCTCCCAATCTCTCTCTTTTCCCGATCCTTGTCGTCCTCGGGAGCCACGTCCTCGACTAACCATGGATATCCACCTAGGCGGAGACTCGACACATAATCGATATTCAATCACGTACGACGACATCTTCGGCGTTGCCCCAGTTCCGAAACAGGCTGTGGGTAGCGAAACGGCGGATGCGAGTAGTTTCCAGGGGTAAAAGAGGAAACGAAAAATTCAAGGAGGAAGTAGCGGAAGGAATAGTGAGACAGAGCGAGAAAGAGAGAGGGAGGGGAGAGATAAGATAGTGAATTCTGGAATTCCAATATGTCTCATAGCTATGCCCTACGGCATCTTCTCAATTTTCTCGTCGAGCTATTTCCGCGATGAGGCCTCGAAGGCTGGTCTGAATCTTCCAGACGAGGTGAAACCGAAAATGAAATCAAAACGTCTTTACTGAAGAGCGGCTCGACTACCGCTGTTAAACCACAGCGAGAAGCATCTGGTCAGTTTAACTGCACCCGACCACACGCGAGAAAACGTCAGTCTTCTATTCTACGCTTTACTTCTGCGGGGATAAAAGAGCGAACGGCACTTGTCTACAGTGCGGTCTGGCGGAACTTAACTCTGGAATTAGCGGGGTTTTTTTTTCGCGAACTAATTAACGTAAAGGAAGTTTGTTGAATGAACCTGACCGTATATTCTGAATATGTTTCTATAGTTTGCAATATGATACGCATAAGAGATTGAGAGAACAAAAGAGAAATTCTCTTATTACTTTTGTTATAAAATACATTTTGTGAAGCAAATAGAAAAACATATTACAATAGAATGCAGTTAACTAGAGAATCTAAAGGAAGAATGAAATCTCTTTTTAGATTGTAAGAATAATAATATATGTGTGTGTATGTAATTTTTGTACGATCATCATTAATTTTAATAATTCTTATTATAGACGGATGCGGGTGAAAGGAGAGAGAAAGAGAGAGGTAGAGACAAACATTTTGCCAACCCCATTTCTCTACAACTGTGGCATAAATTATGTACATATATGTGCGAAAGTTGTTATTGTTCGAGAGCGATATAACCAGCGTTAATTCGGGTAGCAAAAGTTCTACACATAGTATCGTTACGGTCTTATCCAGTACTCAGTACGTTAAATGGAACTCACCCTTTATGCTAACTAAATCTAACGCAACGTACAATTCACCACCCGGCAAACTCGGCACCATCGTGCGCGCTCCATGTGTACGAGCACACATCGGTCACGTTCAGTTGAACAACTTTGCAACTGCTGAGTGATTTACTGCTGAGCGTTCTCCCGCGGCGCATTTGCTATTTCGCAACGTGCTCAATAACCGCCCGCTATTTTTGCAATGTCCGAAAAGTAGAGTCTTATAGCGCAACGTGACGATTGACATTTGGGATAGGACTGTTTCGGAGCATTCGAATTTGGAACGAGACGTCAAGACTCCAGCACAGTTTAGCATAAAAAATTTATGCTACGACATAAAAATATTCTTTCAAGTAAATATTTATTCCTTTTTTTATAGAATGAACAGACGACAAAAATAGAGATCTTATTTCGAAATGGGAAAGATTTCAAAAATAAATTTTAGATTTCTAATATGTATTTTAATATAAAAACTCTTATTCGAAATAATTAAACAAAGGGAATGAAATGTGAATTTATCACTTGTCGGATTATTGAACTGCTCTTCCACTAACAAAAGATTATCCTGGCCCTTTTGTTTTGCCAGTATCCACTTTACCTATACCGACATTGTCCTGGCTTCGTTGATTACTGATAACTTTTGATAGTAATTAGTAGAGTGAATTAGGCGACTCTCTGCTTATTACACGAGTAATAATAATTACAACAGTTACTGGCGTGTATAACGTCACTCAGTGCAAACAATCCCACAAGTAAGCTGTACACTTTCGCTATGTATATATGTATACGCGGCCCAACTGTGTTAAACTATAGTACTTATAGTGCAACAGCAAGTTAGCGACTGTCCGACAACAAGCCAGTGGCTAGGTTGCCCCGCTCTATTGATAGTTTCGGTTATCCCTAATCTCAACTCTCGCTCTCTCCTATAAACTTCCAGCTACCGACTGTCCAAACAGTTAAACAGTCTCGGCCCGCTAATCTTGGAGATCGAATCGTAGATTTCTTATCTCGCGTGCCGGCTTTTTGTCGATCGATACCGACAGACCGTGTTGTAAAATGTTGGCGAACCACAGAGATTTACCACAGGGTGCAACGCCCTACGGGTTGACGTAACGAAAATATCGAAACTTTCTTTAATTAGATACATATATTTTTTAATTCTCAATATATATATATCTGATATATGTATTTTTAAAATATAAATTTTAATCATGTGTAATTTTATGTAGGCATATATATTTTTTTCATATATCTTCTAACAGAATACTATAAGAAATCTTTTAGAGAGAGAGAGAGAGAGAGAGAGAGAGAGAGAGAGAGAGAGAGAGAGAGAGAGAGATATTTCGACGTTTGCGATTTTATTAGATTATGAAACTAAAATTACATCATCACAGATAATTTTATGGAAAGATAAGATGCACGTCAGGAAATAATGCGAATATCCTATCGAACTGTTCTCATATCATGTCCCCGAACCAGAAGCAAGAAATGGTCAGATAAATTTCACAATGTTCCGACAGTTATCCAGTAGGTACGTAGCTAACGATGTCCCTTATCGGGGATTTCTAAACGATAGTAATCGACGTTTGCGGAACAGTCTTAATTAATTCCAGGTGGATCGACCTCCACATATATTACATCTACCCGATAGCCATCTACACTCGTTCGCGGCGAGAACCGATGAGTAAGTTAGATGGGAATAATCCTATCACGTTCTCGTTCAATAGGAGAGGCGGTCGCAATTAAAAGTTATAGATCCGATGGACATTAAATAATTCTTTAATGTTGCTTCTTCTTATTACAGAAATATGAAAATCCAATATTTACTTTAAGAATTGAATAAAATTAGATATATATCTTTCTCATTTCATTTCATCTAATCGAATATAATTACGCGCGCGAAGCGAAATTATTCTTTGTTAATAAAATATTAAAAATTGCAATGCATGCATACAAATTAATATTACAATGCATAAATATATATATATATATATATATATATATATATATATATATTTTTCTTATTTCGTTTAATAATTGAATTAATTAATTAAGTTAATTATATATATATATATATATATATATATATATATATATATATAGTTAATTATAATTAAAGTAAAAAGGAAAGTTCATATTATTCTTTGATAATAAAATATTAAAAGTTGCACTGCATCCATAAAAATTCTTGCAATGAATGCATAAAAATATATTAATTGTGTGTGTGTGTGTGTGTGCGTATGTGCAATGCATAAAATGCAATGTTTAAATCTAACAGAAAATGCGAAATAAATAGAATTCTCTACAAGAATCTTTCGATCAAGGCCTATCCTAGACTGCAGCCTATCACAAGGCTGCAGCCTGCAGCTGCAAGACTGCATAGTGTCGCCACCTGACGGTGAAGCCCGGGAATCAACCGAGGAATCGGCGAAGCACTCTCTCTTTCTATCCTCTCTAAACAAGCACAACTCCCACGTCCACAACACTGCGCGTCTCGAGCGGGACTGATCCCCACCACCGCAAGACTCGACGCCTGCCGCGCTTGCGCGTAGTGATGTCGTCACTCGTCACGTGACCTAACTTCGAGAGCTCGAGAATTCAAAACCGAGTCACAGTATGTGGCCGAGCGCCAAGCCTGACGGAGGAATCTTTGTTCGATTGGACCCAAATCTCTTTTCTCTTAATTGTAAGTACCAAAGAACTTGCTGTTTTCTGAATTTTTAAAATTGCAATATGTGTGTGTACATATAAACAAGGGTGATTTATTTACTCTTGAAAAATATATATATTTCAATAGAATTATTAATTAATTGACATAAAATAAATGACTGAGTTTAAGAGAAATTTATTATGTTATTTGTTTATTATATTATACAAAAGAGATTTGATATTCTGCAATATTATTAAAGGAATGATATTCCGTAGAGGAAAATATTTTTTAAAACCTTTGTATGTACGGTCTAGTGATGCCATATGCACACAAATTTCTAATCATCTATAAAGACCTCCAACATCCACTCGTGGACATTTTAGTGGGGCCATTTACAGGTTTCAGTAGAATGTGTTGCGGTAAGACTAAAGTACTCGAGGGACTTTGGGCATAATGCACCAGCAAAGTTTACCTATAAACCTAGATATTTTAACCGCATTATTATCGCGGACATCGGCTACTTTGCGTAATGTTAATTTCTCGATAATAATTTGTCCGATTAGTATCCGGGTAACCGAGAACAGCGAAAAGAGAAATATGCTGATGATTCAAAATACATATATTCGCAAGGTCTCGTCCGCTCGTTGACTTCTATGACGAAAGGACATTTCGTCCAGAGACGGATAGTTTAAGAAAAGTCTCGATTTTAAATTCAATTGTCGCCGGTGAGAAAGAACGACTGCCTCAGGAACAGCACGTTCAATAAATCTGGACCCAGTGTCAACTGTAAGGGTGGCCTGTCCTCGCGACGTCAAGGCGAGTCTTCGCGTCTCGGTGCAAGAGTAACGGTCCTCCGCGCTGCAGAAACAAAAAGGGCAAAAGTAAAGAGAAGGGAAAAAGGCAACGAAACGCAATACATATACATACACACACAGGATGAAATCGGGTCGGCGAAAAGAAGAAGCCGCAATAGCGTCGACAAAGCCGCGGTTTCCAATTTAGTGCTTTCACTTTGTATACAGTGCGGAAGGCTCGAAAAGAAACAGAAACGATAAAGAAGGAAAATTCTGCGAGGAGAGAGAATGTCGGCGAGGAAGGGAATCGATGGGTAGGAAAAACGGGGGAAAAATGAACGCGAAGGAAAAGGGCGAGGAGAAAAAGAAAGAGAAAGAGAGAAAATGGGGAAAGGGAAGGGAAAGATTGGAGCTTGCGAGTCTCGACGGTGAAAGCCCGCAACTTGAATAGTTTGCGCTTTACCCTGATTGCCGTGCAAAAGTCCCGTCACTCCCACCGCGTTTTGCACGGGTCATTGCCGCTTCCATCGCTATTACTGGTTTTGACAATGACGTTGCTCTCCGCAGACTTTTCCATCGACTCGCCAACCGAGTCCCTTAGATTAGTAATGAGAATCGATTTTTATGAGTCTCTCCCACGTCGATTTTTTTCGAACGTTTATCCTTTAACGATAATCTCTGCGCCACGTGAGCATAATTTCGCGATATTTCGATATTTACAAGACATATCGAGGGTATTTAAACTGCACTCAGCGCGCGATTGCTTTATCGCGATAATCGATAAAATCTCGACGAGCACTTCTCCTCAGTCAGAGAGTTACTCGGAATAAAAACGAGTTTCCTTCTCTTTCGGTAAGAACAATCGTCCGCATCGTTCAAGATAAGCTAAGCTCGATATAGAAAAGTTTCGACTGGATAAATAAAAAAATACTTGAAATATTTAAAATAAAAAGCTCGCGAAGAGATTCACAAGTAAAGTATATAAATATTGATTTTATTATTAGTGTGTGTGTGTGTGTGTGTTTGTGTCCTATTCCTTTCTATCATTTCTACCAGATTCGATTTCTGACGGCTTACTAAATAAAGTACTTCTTTATAAAGTGCGACCGAGACGTGAGTTTCGCTTCTATGAAGCAGAGTAGAAACAGGTAGAAGGACTCGAAGAAGACGAAGATAAGATGGGTGGATGAAAAAGGCGAACGGAAAGAGGAAAAACTTTGAGGATACGTCTTTCACGTGGTCTAACTTAATTTGAAGACACAAAGAAACTTTCTCCGCTCCGGAAATAGGTGAGGACGTGTTTTTCCATGAGAAAACCTTCGTCTCGCCTCCGTCAACGCTTGCTTCTTTCTTCTCGCCGAATTCTTTATCCATCCGATACACTTCGAATACCATTGCACTTGCTCTTCCTTTCTTTCTCTTTTCCTTTCTCTCTCTCTCTCTCTCTCTCTCTCTCTCTCCATTATATTCCTTATCTTTTTAACTATATAAAATTGTCACACAAACACGAATTCTGGGAAATTTGCCCGTCTGTGGCTACCAAAAAGACTGCTAAAAAAACTAGCTCTAATTATCAACCGTCTCGTCGATAAAAGTTGCTCCCAGGTACAGAAGGAGGATAAAAAGGCAATTGCCAGTTTAAAGTCACGTCGAGATAGGACAGATACGATGTAATATACGGATTCGTTTTACAAATGCAAGCGCGGCAGGTATAATGCGCCGCGAACACGAATGCGTGAAATGTAGATAGAGCTTAACTCTCTAACGAAGTCTACCGCTACCTTTCCGCGGTACTAATTAGCGCGCCACGCGAAAAGAGTAATAGGACCGCGAAATTTTCCCCGGGCCGGCTGTGCCGCGTCGAGCTCCGACGAGCACGAACGCGGATATGCGCGGGATATAATATGCGCCCGGAAATGCATTTCTCGCGGACGTCACGCGACACCGCACCGTCCGGACCTAGGGATGTCAATGGCACGCGCGGTTTTGTCAGGTCCGGGTAAGAAATATTTTCTCTCACGGTAATTAACGCGCCCGTACGTCGAGCTTTAATGGATCCTTCGAACGCGACGCGTTTGATTCGTGCGGCGCAATGCCAGGAAATACCAGATGCAATTACGTTTTCATTTTGTGCAGTTGTCGTATAAATAATTCGTATCCTTTTCTCGTTTAATTACGATATAAAGAATTCCATGAAAAATTTACAATTCACTATACGAGTCTCACATATTACATAAGGCTATATATACAATACATATATATGTACATATATATATATATATATATATTTAACATTTATTTATTTATTTTTTTAGTGGAAAAAGAGGCGAATCTCTTTTTACAGCTTAGAGCCACGACAAGTCCGGCATTGTCGACGAGGATATTCCGTTCGCGATCTGTCTACCGTTTTCGGGATGATTCCCACGTACCGGGAAATCCTCTTGAACCCCGCTACACCGCTGCTCACGTCAGAGAGACTCAAACGAGATAAAGTGCGAAGGAGCTCTCTCGTAACGAACCGTTAAACGGCTTCTCCGATAAGTTGTTCTTCTAAAAAGAGATAGAGAGAGAGAGTGTAAGAAAAAAAGATCAACCCTCTATCGGCGCTATTATCCTCCGATTTTGCGAGACACTCCATCCGTCGACTCTTTCCTTTGATTATCAAAGACATAAGAATGACAGCCGGTTAAACGTCGCTGAGTGAAATTTCGAAGATTTCCGTTCTGTGCTATCGCGTAAATGGGATTTCATCAATCATAATCAAAACGATATATCCCATTTTACTAGTTCGTAGGAAACCACCTCTTCGCCGGTCGAGCGACATCCCTCTACGCGTTTAAGCGTTTCAGTAATTTATCTATGCTAATATGTATAACTAATTTATGTCAGCGCGCGTTACGTAACAGTTGGCTGACGCGTTGATTTATTTTGCCAACTTAACCGAAGCGGACTAATTTCACCACTTTCCACAACGGATAAATTGTATGTGTGCGTGGTGCTTTCGACAGATTATTTCGCGTTTCCTCTTTAGTTCATTTAACGATTACACATCATTACTATGGATTTCGTGCGATGCCGAGAGGGTGCATTTATTCGAAATGCGTTGCTCATTGTGATTTCTCTCGGTGAATCTCAGCCCGAGCAATACAAATGTCTCGAAGGAATCGAGAACGTATGTATATACAAATACGTATCTCCAAGCTTCAGTCATTCACGTAAAGGATTAATGTAGTTGCTCCGCAGGGACGTCACTGCACGCTCATACTGCATAATGCAGCACTCGTATGAAATCTCTCTTTTTGAAGTTGATTTCAATTCAAATCCCGGAATATTTTTGTCAAAAAAATTTGTTCTCGATAAAAATACTTCTTAACGAAATCCAACCGCACTATATTTGTGTCGACTATATAAATCTTTCATCTAATTAAAATCTAAATTAAATATCTGTGCTAAAAGTAGGAAGTGGTTCACAGATTGAGAAATGAAGTTTAATTACAAACCTGTAACAAATATTCGAAATTAATTGCTCGGTGTATTTGATATTTTTAAAAATATATAAAATAATTATTAAGTCTGCGCGTAAAAATTTACCGAGAAATCTCTGCATGAATTTCTTCTTCAAATGCGTATGTAATATTTTCGTCTAATTAAAATCTACAATAAATTAAATATATATGCTAAAGTAGAATGTATTTCATATTTTGAGATATGAAGTCTAATTACAAACCTGTAACAAATGATCGAAATTAATTGCTCGGTGGTATTTAATATTTTTCTAAAATAAAAAATAATTATTAAATCTCCGCGTAAAAATGTACCAAGCAAAAAATTTATCGAATTCGAGAAAACAAATATAAAAATATATATATCTGCATGAATTTCTTCTTCAAATGCGTACGTAATATTTTCGTCTCACGCGGCAAACTTTCCCCCGAGTTTCAAGATTTAATCGTGCCAAACTCTTTCGCGGTGCGGCACGAATAACCGCGCATGCACAATTAAAGCCCCGAAGTCTGAATCTGACTGAGGGATAACACGAGACAATTCTCGTGCGCGAGGAACGTGTTTCGCTACGTCAATTCTCCGGCACCATGACACTCTGCTTTACTGCTACAGTACATAGTAACGGCAGCAACAATAACAGCAACAACGATGCGGGATTCTCCGGTTGCTGCGGTTTGGTGTATATCTGCAGGTATATCTACCTGCCTACCACCTACCTTACGTGCATTTCGCCGCAAT